CAGTTGCTTTGTGACTCGCAGCAGTTGACTTCTGCTTCCCTGGACCTCAGTTTCTTCATTGGTAAAATGAGAGAATCATTCCAAATTATGCCTCAGACCCATTCTTCAGTGGTGGGCATTACTGGCGTTTAGCAATACCCAGTTCTCCTCTCTTCCAGTTCATGACTGACTCTGGCCAATGAAATGTAAGAAGTGTTATGTCACATCCTATGTGGCTATGGAGAATCTTTGTAAGATTCTTCAGCTTCTCTTCCCTGCCAAGACAACAGTGAAGCTCACATTACCTTGTGAGACAGTGGAGTTGCTGTCTGCCTGCACCTGCTTTGAGCACATAGTGTAAGCATGGGATGTATTTAAATTGTATTGAGCCACTGGAATTTTGAGGTTAATTTGTTACTGCTGTGTAACCTAATTTATCGTAACTGATACAGCAGATCTAATTCTCAGTGCTGTTGTGAATCACTCTATAAATATTTTTTTTACTATATTGCATCTGAATAAAAATACTTTGAAGAAATTTGAAGCCCACAACTATTTTTCAAATGATTAATAAGTTGGTACCTTTAAAATCAGTCTTTAAACTCAAAGTCTTATTGTTACTCTGAATTTCAATTTGCATCTCTGAATTGATTGATTTCTGGTGTAATTCCTAATCCCCAATTATTTTAGTTCTGTTTTTTAATAGAAAAGGCAACTGGTTTAATTTGTTTACTTAGACTATCTCTCCTTGTTTTGTATACTACAAAAATTTGAAATTGTATTTAAAAATAGGCTTCCCATTGTTTCTGATTTTAAAGTAAATTAATGGTCTATATGAAGAGATGGATATTAGCACAACATTGTTACGTGCCTCCAAGGAAAGTTCAAACAAAGCCTGTTCCTTGGGCATGAAGTAGGTCTGTGCTTGCTTGTCAACAAACTTTCTTAGAAGCTGGTATCCAACTCACTCACTGGCTTGCACCCTAAATAAAGATGTTTTAGTTGAATGCAGAAGTCGTTGTTTTAAATGATAGAAGCAATTGTATTGAAACATTGGCTTAATGCTATGTGAATAAAAGCTGCAAAAAATTTTCTGCTAAAAAAGAAAATTTTCTACTAGAAAGGATTTCAACTTATAGATTTTCATACCATAGAAAAAATATGACATTTCTGTGCCTGAAATGCTAGTCTGATTTTGGCTGAGACTTAAGGGCCAGGTCAGCTATATAACTTACAAGATCAATGCAAAATGAAAATCTTTTGCTCAAAAAGTAGGATTAAAAAATGTGGTTAAAGGTACTAAACCACAAAGTATGTTCCTTTAAGAAGAAATTTAATTTCCTTTAAGAAGAAAGTAGGAAAGGGACCTGAAGAGATATTTCTTCAAAGAAGACATACAGATGGCTAACAAGCACTTGAAAAGATGCTCAACATCACTCATTATCAGAGAAATGCAAAACTACAATGAGATACCACCTCACACCAGTCAGAATGACCATCATCAAAAAGTCTGCAAACAATAAATGCTGGAGAGGGTGTGGAGAAAAGGGAATGGTCTTGCGCTGTTGATGGAATGTAAACTGATACAGCCACTATGGAAGACGGTATGGAGACTCCTTAAAAAGCTAGGAATAAAACCACCGTATGACCCAGCAATCCCAGTCCTAGGCATATACCCTGAGGAAACCAAAACTGAAAAAGACACATGTACCCCAATGTTCACTGCAGCACTATTTACAATAGCCAGGACGTGGAAGCAGCCTAGATGTCCATCAGCAGATGAATGGATAAAGAAACTGTGGTGCATACACACAGTGGAATACCACTCAGCCATAAAAAGTAATGCATTTGAATCTGCTCTAATGAGGTGGACAAAACTAGAGCCCGTTATAGTGAGTGAAGTAAGTCAGAAAGATAAATATTGTATACTGACACATACATATGGAGTCTGAAGAGATGGCACTGATGAATTTATTTTCAGGGCAGCAGTGGAGAAACAGGCATAGAGCACAGACCTGTGGACAAGTGGGAGGAGAGGAGGGGGAAGGGGGATGTGTGGGGAGAGTCACATAGACATTCACAGCACCATGTGTGAAACAGCCAGTGGGAATCTGCTGTGACTCGGAACTCACGCAGGGGCTCTGCCACAGGCTGAAGGGTGGGGTGGGCTGGGAGATGGGAGGGAGGGGACATGGGTGTACCTGTGGACAATTCTTGTTGATGTATGACAGAAAACCACAAAATTCTGTAAAGCAATTATCCTTTAATTAAAAATTTTAAAAAAACGTGATATATGAATAATATCATAAACCTACAGTTAGCAAAAAATTATATTTTGATATCATAATTTTATATACTATAATAAATAATAATACTCTATTAATGTGATAACTTGGTTGATCATAAAATTTTTCTGGTTCACATTTCTTCAAATTCATTTATTAGATCGTCAAAGTTTATACTTTTAGCAACTTTAAGTGATATAATTAAAAGCAGATTAGTTGCTCTTGGCAAATGAAAGATCACACATAAATTTTGGTGATTTTTAATTTTTAGAAAGATCTTTCTGCTGATGCAACTGACACTGGAACTGTTAAGAATATTTTATAGACTGTGACACCATTTGGATAGATTTCTAATAAATTATTTCAAAATATAAATTTTAGTATGTCTAAAGCTGATGCTTCTTATGGAAAAATTTTTTTAAAGATTTAACTCTTCATACACATTAATTTCATGTGTGTTTGTCAAATTAAATTTGTACAATGCCATTTTAATGTTTTCTCTAGCATTTCTTATAACTTGTAGAGGTCATGCAAGAGACCAAAAGTCACTTGATGGTTTGTAGATAATTCAAAATGCCTGTTATGCTTTCTATTACTGTATCTTAAATTACAAAGAAAAGTGAATTTTAAAACTGTACTCCTCATTTATCTGTTCATTTGAAGCTGCATATAAAAACAATGTTCTTTTCCATCAAATGCAGTAATCTTTAATTTAATTTCTATTTCTCAACCAGTGGATATTTGCTTTGCAATGTTGCAACAGCATTTAACATCAGAGATTTTAAACTCTGAAGAATCCTAGTATCACTTTGATATGCTATGTTACAGTGCCCACATGCATGCTTTTATTTTGTAATTTACTGGCGTTTATTGCCTAAGCACTGGCAGTTCTTAACTCCACGCTCAGGCCAAAGAGCTAATACTTTCACCTTGGGAATAAGCTCTGGGAAGAAGGCAAGCCAGCCTCCCGCCAGTGCCCCCGCCACTGCCCCTTCTGTCCCCATCACGTGGCTCATCTGGGGCCCCGCGCCACCACCCCCACACTGCTCTGGCGCAAAGGTGCACACAGGCCGGAGCCGGCTGTCTGGCATAGACACAGTGCTGCGGGCCAGAACCCACACGTTGCCCAGCGTACTTCCTGTCTCACATGAGTGCTTCCTTGTTCCATCAGACTTTATTTCTAACAGACAAGGTCAGAGGTAGGATCACTAAGAATTTCAGGACAGCCACAGCAGAGCGCGGAGCCGTGTGTGGAGCCCCGAGCAGCGATGCAGGTCACACATGCCCTGCTTAGGCTTCATGTTCTGTCCGTAGGAATGATGCGACCCTCTGTGTGAGTGAATGTGGAGGGAGATCCTTTTGTGCCTTTGGCTTCCAATCCTGGAAATAAAAACAGTGACACGTGGATGAGATGTTACCGACCATAATTTGTTTCTCTGCCTCTTAACTGCTCCAAGTTTACTTTTTTATAAAAATGCTAGACACTAAGGCACTCCTTCTTTAGAGGGATTTTTTTAGTTTCAAATAAGATTCCTTTTCCAAGATTCTTGAGAAAGTGGGAGTAGTATCAGGACAAAATTAGCATTTATTGAATACTTATCACGTGTTGATTTATTGTTGTTGTTCAGTCACTAAGTTGTATCCAACTCGGTGACCCCATGGACTGCGGCACATGTCCTTCTCTATCTCTTGGCGTTTGCTCAGATTCACGTTCATTGATTCGGTGGTGCTATCAAACCATCTCATCCTCTGCTGCCTCCTTCTCCTTTTGCCTTCAATCTCTCCCAAGCATCAGGGTCTTTTCCAACGAGTCAGCTCTTCACATCAAGACCCAGATGGTGGGAAAGATAGAAGGCAGAAGGAGAAGAGGGCAACAGAGGATGAGATGGTTGGATGGCTTCATCAGTTCAATGGACATGAATTGGGCAAACTCCAGAGAACAGTGAGGGACAGGCGGGCCTGGCATGCTGCAGTCCATAGAGTTGCACACGACTCTGTGGACACGAAGAGTTGGACTTGACTTGGCAGCTGAACAACAAAAACACTCTGCATATAAGTTAAATAAGCAGGGTGACAATATACAAGCTTGTACTCCTTTCCCAATTTTGAAGCAGTCGGTTGTTCCATTTAAGGTTCTGTTACTTTTAGACCCGCATACAGGTTTCTCAGGAGACAGGTAAGGTGGTCTTAAAGAGAGATTTTAGCAAGTCTTTCTGAAGGCAAAGACTTTGAGATGCAGCTTTAAAAGTGCCCTGTGTGTGAATGCTGGAAGCAAATGACCTAGGTTCAAATCCTGACTTAGCGGGTAGTGGCTTCTTGCTAGACAAGTTACTTCTCAGAGGCTTAGTTTCTTCATGTAACTAATGGGGACCTACCTCATAGGGTTGTGTAGAGGGTTAAATGAAAGGAAGATACATGTAAAGCGCTGAGAACAGAGCCTGAAATTGGTGGCAGATGTCACTACTAATATCATTACTGCTACCATGTTACCTTGCCCACTCCACAGTCTCTCTTCATAGGTTAGTAGTCAGCAGAAAAGAAGGGCTTATTAGAGACAGATAGACAACAAGGCCCTTCTAGTGTTTACCTTCCCTAAAGTTCCCAGAGAAGGCCCTCTTGTGTATGATATGATCTGTGATCTGATTCTTATCCTGGGCAGCCCATCTCTGTGGTCTTTTTTGGATTTTAATGTTCTGCCAACTTGATCATTTTCTGTCTGGCTTGTATGTATTACAGGTATGAGACGTCTCTGTTGGATTTGGTTCAATCTCTGAGTCCAAAGACTGCTTCCAAACCGCGGCCCCATCGCTCCAGAGAAGCTGGGTCATGGAATCACAGTACTTGCCGACTCAGTCCTCTGAAATCAACCTGGAACAAGACCAGGGCTGGCAGCACCCCTGAAGACCTGGAGGAGAATCAGATTCTAGAAGATATCTTTTTCATTTGACGCTGAAGCATGTGCTGCAGAATTTCCATCAGAAATGAGTGGGTGTTTTTATTTACCGATATAGGATTTTAAATTATTTAACTGTAATTGTGTCTCTCCTTTCACACGGACCTATCTCACTAGTATCCTGTTGTGTATGGAATTTAGAAATCATTCTAACAACCCAGGGTGTTTCTGATTAGACCAGTCAGTAGGTAACACATTAAGGGTGGGTGAGGGTAGAGGGCAGTAGCCTTTCTGTGCTAAGCAGAGATTAGAAAATTAACAAAGGACACATACTGCATGGCAGAGGCCATTGTTTACTCAGCCTCCTTCAAGAGTGTTTCCTTTTCAGTATTTTGCTGGAAATGTTGGGCTGTGTTTTATACACAGGGAAAACCTTTCCACTGAAAGATACCTCTGGTTTCAACATAGCCCCTTTGTAACATAAACAGTTTTGAAAACGTAGACCCTTTTACCTCTCCACCCTGTTTTCTTACCACCTACCTCTTTGCAATGCAGTCAGTTAATTCTGAAGTTGGAGTCGGTGCCCTTCCCATCACAAGCAACACTGAGGGCCAATCGTGAGTCAGCCTCTGCAGTCATCAGCCTTGGCAGCTGCCCGCTCCATACCCTAGAGTGCTTAATGAGCTAGAGAGATCCACCCCCCACGCCCCAGCCCTTGGAAACTGGAATTAGATTACATAAGAGAGTGCTACCCCAGTGGAGTTGCCGGCCAAAATGCATGTCCTCCCATCTCCTTGGGTAAGTTAGAGCAGTCTCTCGGTATCTTTCCTTGATCCAAGTGTCTGTCTTATTCACCCTCATGAACTTCTGTCAGTGGCTGCAGGCTCATAGGCTTCCTGGCCTCCCCTCTTTCCCCATGAGGAGCCAGAGCTCTGGTGGACCAGGCCTTGCATGTGCTCTGCCCAAGGCCACTGTCTCATGGCCCCACAGAACCACCTCCTCTTGCCAGATAATGTTCCCCCCTGCTCTCCCACTGGGCCCCGCAGAGAAAGCCTGTGGAAGAATTACACCCAAAACCCCGATTCTCAGCTCTCCTGTCTGGCAGAGCTCTTGAGCTGGGTTGCTCTGCCTACAGAGGGCTTTAGTGGACTCTAGCAGCATCGCAAGCTGATGGGCAGTATCATGAGCCTGGTAGAGCCAGTGAAGTTAAAACTTTCCAGTCCTTGGAAGCAGGGGGGAGATGTTTATCACTCGATGACTTTATTTGGCGTAGGGGGTGTTGCTTTTCTCACTCTCCCTTTCACCAACCCCAGACGTGAACTGAGACTGTCAGTCATTGTTAGTAGCCAAGGTCAGAACATGCAGGGCAGCCTGCAATTAGTGAGACACGTGGTTTCCTTGAAGTCTTTATCAAAACTAGATTATTTCAGCCTACAGAAGCCTTCCAGAGCAGCTTCCATGCCTGGATAAATCCAGATCTCATTGTTTTTTCAGACTGGGCCCTCTCACCTCGGCCCAGCCTTCCTTCACTTGCAGCTTTTTGTCCTTTGGAGGGAGGAATATAGCCTGCCAATACTATATTCTCAATCTGAGGGAAATATCAGGTCAGAACAAACTAGCTATAGTCATTCAGTTGAAAATTATTGCAGATTACAGTCTTCTCTGAAAGTTCACCCCTGTGAAAGTAATTCAATCAGTGCCATCCCATTCTGAAAGCCTTTGGAAAATAGGCTTTTCTTGGTGTGGCAAAAAAAGGGGCGGGGGGCGGTGAAAACAAACTGAGAGCCCTTGGCCACTTTCTCAGTTAAAGTTAGATTCCTGAGCTATCTTCCTGTTGCTCCCTGTGTCATGCCCACCTTAAGTACACCCAGATCCTTCAAATCATCACAACCACACTTTCCCCTCCTGGACACCAGTGTCCCTACTGCTCTCTGGATGCCAGAAAGACCACGAAAAGGCCTGTGATGTCTTCAAGAAACTTGTTTGCCTTTACAAGAATCATAAGTAGGCTCTAAACTAAAGGCTTTGGGGGTCACATGCCACAAAATGGAGTTTAACTGCTTGCTTACCTCTCCTGAATGAGCAATCTGGAACAGCAAAAATGGATTTTCAGCAGAGCATCAATCAACCTGTTTTTCATATGCCACAGTCCCCCCCCCCAGTTGCCTTTCTCTATCCTGTAGGCATTTCTTGGATGTCAGGGCAATAGGATGTGAATTTGTGTCTGGTCTAACGTCTTCATTATGAATTGAACAGTGTATGTTAACATTTCAATCTGTGTCTCACTTTGAGATCTATATATATGTATGAAAATGTTGTTGTAGAGCCTCGAGGCTTTTGTGGAGCCCGGAGGCTTAACCTAATTGCAGACTAAGCTACCAAGGGAGAGGGTCCGGCACACAGCGATCTGCCTTTTCTCTCAGTAAGCACTCCCGACAGTGACTGGGATGCACTTACCCAGCCTCCAGCCACTTCCCCAAAGCAAGGCTGGACACGTGCCGGGGTTGCTGCTGGTGTTACCACTTCCCCACCCTGCCTCCCATCATTCTAGGAGAGAAACGCCAGTCAACATTTGCAAAATGGGGAAGGACAAATGTCAACAGACACTCTTCAGTAGGGCCCAAGGTGCGTGATTTCAAAAGCCAAGTCTGCCAAGGAAAAGGTTTTCCTGGCGGTCACCCTTCCTGGAGGCACACTTGTGTTCACAAACCTGACCTCCATGGTGGGGGCTTGTCTAGAGCACCCCGAATATCGTGGGAGGAAGAGGCTCCCTCCCCCTCCAGGGGCCCTCCTTTCCTTGACTCTGCTCTCATACGAGAGATTTGCTGGTCTCAGACGCCAGGGAGGGGCCAGGCCTGAGGAGCAGAGCCAGATGAAGACTACCATCGTTAGGGTGGGGGCTCTGGCAGACTCCCCCTAACTCACCCTCTATCCCCACCTCAGGGTATGTTATTTTTAATGTGGGCCAATGTCCCTTTTTATGAGGTTTTATGGTAATAAATTATCTGTATGGCTATTTTCCCCATGTGGTTTTGATACTGAATTGCTCCTTGAACATCCCTCATCAAAGAAGTGGAGTTTAGCTTGAAAACAAAAGCAGAGCCTTGGGTTATCATTTCACTAAGTATTTGTTAAAGCAACAGGAGCTTATAGTCAATTGAAAGAAACCCATGTCTTGTAGGTTTCCTGGCTGACTCCAGCTCATGCTTATCACGTAAACACTATGTGGTCACTAGAATGGAGGATTCAGTCTCTGTGTACTGCTGAGCCCCTTCTATGTCCCTTTTCACAAAACTGCTCAGTAAAGAACTGTCTTGGCACTTGGACACAGGAAAAATAGTCCTGGAGGAGAAAATGGCAATGCACTGCAGTAGTCTTGCATGGACAACCCCATGGACAGAGGAGCCTGGTGGGCTACAGTCCATGGAGTCACAAAAAGTCAGACACGACTTAGCGACTAAACAGCAAACAGTTGGCTTTAGGTACTGGGAAAACATCAGCGAGGGCTCGCATGGCTGAAGTGCTAAGATTTGAGATCACATCTGTGGATTCAACTAAGACAGCTAAAGGCCCTATCCTGTCCCTGCTCCCCTAGCCAGCTTGGCACCTCCCTCCGAACCAGGGGCCTTTGCAGCTGCTCCTCAGAGACAGAAATGATGAGAGCAAAGTCATCATTCAGATGGCTCCCGAGCTGAAAATGAACTAAGTAGTGTTTGACCCGACTGAAGTAAGATTATTACTCTTGAGTCTAGGAACAAGGCCTGATCCTCAGAGGAAGAATAAACACAGCGAGAGAGCCCGCTTCATAAGTTGGTAACCAGACGCACGGTTCCTTCTGAGTTTCTCAGATTTGCTATTTAAGGTGGGTTGTTCCTGAGCCCCTAGGGTTCCATTGTTCCATTCAGAACTGGGACCTTTTACCCTCTCAGGCTTCAGCCTCATAGCTCACGCACATCCAGCTCCACCACATACATGCTCAAAATTGAGCAAGTACCTGGAAAATGTGCCTGGGTCCTTTTCTGCTCTCCTCACCACAATTCCATCACCTTCCAGAGTCACAGAAGTCTGTGGCTGGATTGGACCTTAGAGCCCATAAAATCCATCACTTTGATTTTACAGATGAATAAAGTTCAGAGAAAAGTGAGCTCTCATATCCTGCCAGTGGTAGGTCTGGCCACCAAGCAAGGACCACCCCCCCCCCCACCGCCCCGCCTCCACCACTGCAGGACATCACTCCTTTGATGTATGTTCGAAGATGAACATTTTTAAGAATCTCAACTAGGATTGAACATTCCACCGCCATCTCTTGTGAGGTGAGCTTTTGTAGACTGCTTGGACCAAAGCGGGCAGAAACATAGCATGTCCTTTCTTCAGGGGATTTAGGTTGGTAACCCTCAAGGAGTGAATGCCACCGTCTAGAACTTCTTTCTGTTCATGGAGGTGGAAGCCATGGGAAGATTAAAGAAAATCCCTGGGAAAAAGCTAAATCTCTCCAGGTGGCATAATGGACATCACTGTCTTCTGTAAATAATAAAGGCTATTACAGCCCTAGTTAGGACTTCTTCTAAAAAGACAGTTGGCAAAATGAGAGTGAGGTCCACCTTTAACTGGCTGGGGGAAGTGGTAGATGTAAAACCAGTAGGAATGACCTATATCATACATTGTCAATAGGGAAGCCAAGTACTTTGACCATGACCTGCCAAAACCCAAGCTTGTCTTCATTGGTGGTCTCGGTCAGTTGAGTGGCTCCCCTGGGTCCATCATTGTGTCACATGCTGTTGGCCCCACAAAGGAAGAGAGTAACAGCACAGGTTATGGAATTAATTGGGCTTCCCTGGTGGCTCAGATGGTAAAAGAATCCACCGGAAATGCAGGAGACCTGGATTCGATCCCTGGGTTGGAAAGATCCCCTGGAGGAGGGCATGGCAACCCACTGCAGTATTCTTGCCTGGAGAATCCCATGGACGGGGGAGCCATGGAGTCACAAAGAGTGGGACACGACTGAGCGGCTAAACACAGCACATGGAACTAATTAGATCTTATCCAAATCTCAGTTATACTGCTTCCTAGCTGATTAATCTTAGGCAATTTATTAACCACACTAAACCTAAATTTCTAAACCTGTAAAATAAGGAAGATAATGCATGCCTCATAGGAAGGTTATAAGAGTAAAATTCAATGAGATAATATATATGAGCTACTCAGTCATGTCCAACTCTTTGCCACTCCATGGACTATAGCCCACCAGGCTCCTCTGTCCATGGGATTCTCCAGGCAAGAATACTGGAGTGGGTTGTCATTTCCTTCTCCAGGGGATCTTCCTGACGCAAGAATCGAACCTGGGTCTCCTTCATTAAAGGCCAATTGTTTACCTTGTGAGCCTCCAGGGAAGCCCTTAATGTATGTGAAGGGCCTAGGAATAGTCCCTGACACATACAAAGTGTTTCATTAGTGGTAGCTATCATTACTATCATTTATTTCTCAGCTAACTAACAGACTAGATAGAAGACAAAGCATACATTTTAAATTAATTTTTATTGGAGTATGGTTGCTTTACAATGTTGTGCTACTTAGTGCTGTATAACTTACATGAATCAGTTATATACACACATATATTCAACTGTGTAGAGTACCTTGTGCTGAACAGTAGGTTCTCATTAGTCACCTATTTTATACATAGTTCATACTTTAAATTTTTAACAATAATAAAGCAAGAGCTCGGTTCAGTCATGTCCGACTCTTTGCAACCCCATGGACTGAAGCACACCAGGCTTCCTTGTCCATCACCAACTCACAGAGCTTGCTCAAACTCATGTCCATCGAGTTGGTGATGCCATCCAACCATCTGACCCTCTGTCATCCCCTTCTCCTCCTGCCTTCAATCCTTCCCAGCATCAGGGTCTCCAGTGAGTCAATTCTTTGCATCAGGTGGCCAAAGTACTGGAGTTTCAGCTTCAACATGAGTCCTTCCAATGAATATTTAGGACTATTTCCTTTAGGATTGACTGATAAACAAGAGTTATCTCAGTAAATTTCCCAGTGACTGGTAAACACTATAGTTTCAGATAGCAAATTGCTGGACTGAGTTTACTTAGAATTTGTGGGAGGAGGCAAAAAAGGAGGGAATTGTAACCTGGGCTTGGGAAGAACATCTAAGACGGATGGAGGGTGGGGAGAGATGTGGTAGGTGGGAAGATACAGAAGCTGAATGCTCACTGGTGAGAAAGCTCAAGATGTGTTTTGAAAGAATGCCTTGGTGGTCCCAGCTAGTAGTTGAGGTTCCAGACAAGAACACATGGGCCTGCACTGAGAGAAACAGGCCAGGCCCAAATTGTGAAGACTGCGGGATGCCAGGCACTGGAGTTCCATCCTTCAACAAAAAGCCGTGAACTATTTTAGAATCACTTGTTCAGAAATACCTACCGTGCAGGGGTGTCAGGCTCTACGGGGCGCGGGGGCGTGGGTAGGAAAGGGGAGGAAGGACACCGGCACTGAGTGCCTGCTGAGTGCTGAGCAAGGTCTGTAGATGCCTTCCCTCATTTAATCCTAAACCTTGGGTGGCAGTATCCCACTGTTAGAGATAAGGAAACTGAACTTGGAGAGGTTAGGCCTCAACTGCTACACTGTGGAGCTAGAAGGGGCCTGGGAGACAACTGTCAAGTTCTATGGGTGTACTTCTTGTTCCATACAAGCCTTCCTCTGGCCTAAGCAGGGAGCACTTTAGGCAGAGACAGCTGTTGCACAGGTCAGATGAGGTTCTGGGAGACCTGTCACTCCATCCTAGGATTGGACAGAAGACTATAGAGTGGAGATGCTGCTATTAGGATCAGGCTTCCTAATACCACCTCCCAAGATTGGACCGTGGGACAGCCCACCCAGAGGAGAGTTGGGACAGCAGATCAGACAACCTAGGATTCATGTCGCTTGCCAGGGACTGAGTTGGAAAGAAAGACCTTGAATGCAGTACTTAAATCAACCTTGCCCTGTTGAGAATGTGCACAAAATGAAGTCAGATCGCCCCTGGCTGGAAAGATAAATTACAGAGCATTAAGGAGGAAGTGATGAGCATGGGACACAGAAAAAAGTCAGAACTTGCTCCATTGGAACTCGCTTCATGGAAACACTGGATGGGAGGGTTGATAAGATGCTGAACCCCAGTAGTGGCAACAGTGATATCAAAGAGGAAGATCTTACAGGAAAATAAGAAATTTCTACGACTCCTCATACTATGCTGAAGGGAATGTGAAATGGTACAGCTGTCTTGGAAAACAGTCTGTAAGTTCCTCAAAAAGTTAAACATAAAGTTACCATATGACTAGCAATTGTACCCCTAGGTATAGACCCAAGAGAAATAAAAACGTTGTTTAGTCGCAAAGTCATGTCCCACTCTTAAAGTCTTGTCCGTCTCATCGCGGCCCCATGGACTGCAGGGTGCCAGGTTTCCCTGTCCTTCACTATCTCCTGGAGCTTGCTCAGACTTATGTCCATTGAGTCGGTGATGCTATCCAACCATCTCATCCTCTGTTGCCCCCTTCTCCTCCTGCCCTTAATGTTTCCCAGCACCAGGGTCTTTTTCAATGAGTCAGCTCTTCATATCAGGTAGCCAAAGTATTGTAGCTTCAGCTTCGGCATCAGTCCTAATGAACATTCGGGGTTGATTTCCTTTAGGTTTGACTGCATTTGCCCTCATTGGAGTCCAAGGGACTCTCAAGAGTCTTCTCTAGCACCACAATTTGAAAGCATCAGCTCTTCCGAACTCAGCTTTCTTTATGGTCCAACTCTCACATCTGTGCACGACTATTGGAAAAACCATAGCTTTGACTATATGGACCTTTGTCAGCAAAGTGATGTCTCTGCTTTATAATTTGCTGTATAACTTTGTCATAACTTTCCTTCCAAGGAGCAAGCATCTTTTAATTTCATAGCTGCAGTTGCCATCCACAGTGATTTTGGAGCCCAAGAAAATAAAATCTGTCACTGCTTCCACTTTTTCCCTTCTATTTGCCGTGAAGTGATGAGAC